CCCAAGTAGCAGCGGGGGGGAAGAGACACTCCCTTGCTCGACCTTTTCGCCTTCAGAAAATGGGTGAAACCCCTGAATTTCGTGCTTACTGAGCGGCCAGCGTTGCTACAGCCTTGCACCTCGGCTGTGTTTTCCTTGTGTTTCCCCTTTTTGGGGTGCTGGGGGTGAGGGGTGAAGGGGCCCCTCCGGCTGGGGCCTGCGGTGAGGGCTGTGCACGGGAACCGCACCCCCTCGTGAATTGTTTTCTGCCCCAAAATGAAGCACCAGCCTTGATAGAAAGCAAATGCGCTTGATTTCTTCTGGGGGAATTTGGGTTTCTGGTTGTCTGGCTTAGATTTTTATTAGGAGGCAGATACTGAATGTTTTTGATGCTAAAATTAATGATGAAAATAGGACTTTTTTTGAATTGTGTGTCTGTTATTTCTCTCTTTAGGCCATATCTGATTTGGGAAAGGAGAGGAATTCTGGCCGAATCACCTTGGTGGGGCGGAGACCAGCTGTGTTGCGTGATCTTGACAATGACACGCCACGGAATATGCTCAAGAGAATCATCCAGACCCGTAAGTATCTTTTTCCAGGGAGGGAGAGAACAGAAATACCGTGTTTGGGTGGAGTTGAGGGCAGGAGGTGTTCCTTTGCAGCCTGTTGTTCACACCCTCCTGTGCAGAACAGAAGCCCAGACCCTTGTATGACCGATTTATGTAAAAAAGAGATTTCTGCAGCGGCAGCTGACTGAGGTCATGTGAGACAACTCTGTCTCAAAGACCAGATCTTGCACGGATGAAATCGTGTTCTTCAAAATCCTCTTCGCTGAAAATCTTTCGTCTTAACCTGGTTAGAAAGCAAGTAATCTTTGTGCTGCCTTTCGATAGAGGATGGTGTGTAAATTATAGCGGCATCCAGCTCTGCTGTGGTATGTGGAACACCCCCTGCTGCTGGTTGTCGCTGTATGTGTCAGCTTTCCAGAGGTAGAACCCAAATAGTATTCACCGTTTTTTTTGTTATAGCCCATTCCTAAAAGTAGTTTACGAAACATAGTGTAGATTTGACCCTCTGGGGCATTTTGGCATTCTTGCTGGGTTGAGTTGTGGAAAGAAAAAGTTTTTGGTGTCTTGGCAGAACCGCAAGTTTCACCTCTAGCACCTCACGTATCTAAACATGAAGAAGCGGAAGAAGCTCAATCAGAACTCCCATCTAAGAGGATTTCCAACACGTAAGTAACTTCTTTTTTTTTAATTTTTACTTTTAATTTTTGCACTGCTGGGCGTAGGTCCAGCTGCTCTGACGGAATTGGGGAGCAGGGTTTCTCTATCGGTAATCAGAATTGCAATTTCCGGCTTTCAAAGTTGTGCAGGAATCGCAGGGACTGAATAGGAAATACTGCAGGTTTGGGTTTAGTCTTCCTTCTGAAGTGCAGACTTTTAATATCTCTTTTTGCAGTGGAAGCGCTGGTCGCAATAAGTCTACTGTCAGAAGCCTATTTTCTGTAGCTATCCGAGAGAGATGCTGAAATAGAAGTTCTTGGATCTCCCTGAGGGGTAATTTCCTTCCCACAGGGAGATTTGGAGATTTGCCTGAGGCTCAGCTGCTTTTATTCATGTTTAGCTTCCTTTTCATATTGTAAGTTAACGGGCCTCGGTTAATTGGAGCGGCTGAAGTGTGATTCATTTACTTCCGCTTTGGTGTGAGACAGGCCAGCAGCAGTGGTAGCTCTTAATTTGATTTAACCGGTCTTGGCACCATGCTCGTGCGTGTTTTTGCTTCCTGCAAAATGGGCTGTTCTAAATAATGCGTTTTCTTTCGTTTTGTCTTTTTAGCTAAACTTTTTGCATCGACCATAATCAACTTTAAGCAGGTTGTGTAAAATCTTAAGCAACCTTCCATCTTCCTGATTTTTTTAGTAGAGGAAGAAACATCTGAGTTTTCTCGAAGTGTGACAGCTTCTTTGTCGCTTTCTTTTTTAATTTCCAAAATAGAGGAGCAATATTTTAGTTCCTTCTTGTTTTTGGTTATAGTTCTTCAGCATCTTTGTGCTTCTCGTCAGCCTTTCTTAAATGAAAAGACAAGACGATTGCAGGGTTTGCTGTTGTATATGTTAGCTAGCTGTTGAGCTTAAACAGATACAGACTTTTTGTTGAAATTCCTTCCCCTCAACCTGCCTTTGGTTGACAAGAACGTCCTTGAATTGGGGAAGGCCCCACTTTCCGTGGCTCTAGTAGTAGTAGTGCTCATTTTTTCCCATCTATCCCAGAATACAATGTTTTTTACCCCGCTGCTTTATGTTTGATTCCCGTTACAAACCAGGTAATTCTAATGCTTAAGCTTATATTGTGCTCCTAACGAGAAACGAAACTCAGCTGCAGTTCAGACTGGCAGAGAATGTATTTTGTAAAGGGAAAAGACCCATAAATTTCACATCCTTGCTGTTCCTGCTGTAATAATGTCCTGGGATATTCTGTGTCTACTCCGTGTGCCAGTGGGCTTTGTGGTACCTAATGTTGTTTCATGATGAGAGCTGTTTTATTTACGCTCCAATGATGGACAAACCTAATTGTTCCCGTGTGCTGGTCGAAAAGCGCTGCAGAGCTCGTTGGAAATCCAAGCTGTTACTCTGGTCTGCCCTTTGTCGGCCCCCGTCGTTGTGAAAATACACTCAAGTTTTTAATGTCCTTTGTTAAAGGCTGGGTTTGCGTTCGCAGGGTGGAAATGCAGCTGCCAGACCTTGGTCCTGAGGAGACATCAATCACCACGTTCCACATGACTAAGAAAAGGAAGAAATTCAGCATTTCTGAGTTTGAGAGAGCAGCTGACAGACGACTTCACCAGAACCAAGGTGAGGCTGCAGTCCGAAATTACCGCGTTCGGCGTTGCGTTTGCTGGCAGCTGATTTTCATCTGCTGCGCTTTAGGTCTTGGTAACTTCTCAGCTGGGCTGTTGTGGCTTTAGAAGAAAGATTGCATGTCTCGTGCAAAGGGGTTAGATGAGAAGGTAAAAGCCCCTCCTGTCAAATTTCAAATGAACCTTTTCAAGCCAAATTCCAGGTTCTGCCCTGACTGTATGTAGCTTCTTAACTATTTTTCCAGTTTGGTCCTCTTTGAGGTTTAAAGTGCTTCCTTCTAAATTCCAGAAACTTGAAAATAGAACAAGCTGCATACTTTCTGTTGCAATTATATTTCAAAAGTTACAAAGTTCTTGTTTGAGAGAAAAAGGTATTGCAGTTTTGTAAAAGAAAAAATGTTTTATGTTGGAATAAGCCTCCCCTTTAAACATAAACCTCCCCTAGGCTGGCGTCTTGCTATTAACGTGGTAAGATTAATGTTATTGAGTGTGAGAGCATGCATGTGCCCTATTAAATTTTCTTTGAAATGAGAGTTTTATTACCTTTTCAGAAATTGCTTATTAGAATTTGAATACGCAGTTCTGAAAAGCGGAGAAGAAATCCTAAAGTGAACCCGTCATCTACTGTTCTCACCAAAAATGTAACTTTTGAGAGTGGTAGCGTACCTGGCTCTAGAAAGAGGAAGTTCTCGTAGTCTGTTTTGTTAGAGGGTAATTTCTCAGTATAATTTCTACCTAATAATGTGTCACTGACCTTTTCTAGCTCAGTCAACGTTGGACAGCACTGCTTTGGCTCGGTGAGTTTAAACTAAATTGTCTTAACTTCTGTCTGTCGTTAACTATAACTGCCTTGATTGGTCCCCTCTCTGGTGGGGAAGAACAGTATAGATGCCTGGCTTTGGGATAAAGACCTATTTTAGCAATAACACAGTCATCTCCCGCTCTGGTGATGGGATTGGTACCTTGAGATTTTCAGGAATTGTCACTCTCCTCTCTGTGCTTATGTTGGTCTAGTTTATATTGTCACTATCGTCCCTCTTTTTACTTACTAGAATCATTTCTCTCTGTTTCATTCTCATACTTCCAAAACATTTTTTCTTTTTTTTTTTTTACTTAAAATTTTTAAAATCCCTGAAGCTTTTGTCAGATTTCTTTTGTCAGATGTGCTGTTGCAGCCTTCTCGAGATGGGAGGCTGTAAAACAGTCCGTTTCCTAATCTCTGCGATACATATCCTGATGTTAGGCGATGCCGTGAAATCAAACTGCTTGTTTTGAGTAGCCTGGCATATCATTTTCAAGTTGGTTTTTTTTGAGGTGGAAATTCCTTCTACCTGAGAGGTTTGTGAATTGTCTTGCTGTTAGTGACACCGTGTCTGTAATCTGAAGGTAAAAGGGGAGTGTGCACGTTTGGAAAATGATTTCTTCCTGCCTCTTTTTGCAGATCTCTTCGCATGTCTCTCGGTTCCTTGTTCCCACCAGACACCGTTGAAAAGAGAGGCTTGCTCCGGAAGCCGAAAAATCGCAAAGCTGTTGATATTGAAGCTTTCGAAGGCGGAGTGGAACAGAACATGCTGAAGAGAAAAGGTTTCTTTAACGTTGTTACTTTTGTTTTGAGAGGGAAGGGCCTTATATAAGCTGATTTTTAGAAGCAGTTATTGAAATGTGGTCTCTTTAAGGGCTACTAGCACGTTCGTAGAAATCCAGTGTAATTTGGGAGGCAAGACTTGAGTGAGGCTCTACATCTGTAGCTGCTTTGATTCTATACACGTAAATACGTGTTGCACCCAATTTGGTGGTTTGTACCACCAGAATTGTTTGAGATATCGTTCATAACTGTGGGCACTGGTGAGATGGTTTGGTAGAGGAAGTTCGGGGCACTGAAGCCTGGTGATACAGCTTCAGTATTTTATCTGTGGAGGATGAATAAAATTTGGTTGAATGACTTTAAATTTTGAGTTGCTCAAGTCCTGGTAGTAAATGTGCATCCATATGAGCTTGAATGGTTTTTCGCGTAAAACTTTTTGTATAACTGTCTCTGAACAGCGCAGAACTATCTTGTGGATTCGCAAACAGCATCTGGGATTCAAACAGCCATGCTGGCGAGCGACGCGGAAATCGTGCTGAGTAACACGGAGCTCTTTGCTCAGCCTCACTTTGATGAACAGAGTGAAAATAAGCTGCCTGCTCCTGAACCGCCGCTATTGGATTCAGACACTTCGCCACAGGGAAGCAAGACTTCTGACGCAGCTCAGCTGGTGGGCCTGGTATCCAGTGCAGGCATGAATGATGAGGGAGGGACCCAAAGATACTCTGAGGACTTAATCCTTGACGGTGAGCGTGTTGATGTGACTCATTTATCTCCAAAAACACCTGCAAACCAGCGAGAAAATAAGAAAGATCATTCCCAGCGGCATAACCTGGTGGAACAGCTTCCTCTTTCAGAAGAGGCGGTGGTTGGCAGTGAGTATGGTGGGTTAGGACTCAGAGCTTAGCAGGTGTTACCTGAAATCACAGAGGGGTTGAGGTAGGGAGGTCATCGTCTCCAGCTCCCCTGCTCAGGTGGGGCCAGCTGGAACAGGTTGCTCAGGACAATGTCTCCAGGGATGGAGTCTGCAAACTCTGGGCGACTTGTTCCAGTGCTCAGTCGTTATCATGGTGAAAAAGGGGTTCGTTATGTTTAAACAGAGCTTCTGGTATTCCAGACTGCGCCTGTTGCCTCTTCTCCTGGCACTGAGCACCACTGAAAAGAGCCTGGCTCCTTTTGCTTTATACCACCCCTTCAGATACTCACTCGAGCTTCTTTTTCTCCAGGCTGACTGGTTCCAACTCTTTCAGTGTTTTCCTCTGAGGAGAGATGCTCCAGTCCCTTAGTTGTCCTGGTGGCCCTTTGCTGGGTTCTCTCCAGTTTGTCCATCCGTCTCTTGTACCGAGGAGTCCAGAAGTGGACACCAGAATTTGGTCACAAACATGATGAGAGAAGGAGATAAAGCTGTAGACAGAGTTAGAAGGAGCCTTGAGAGGTTGCTCCTCTAGACCTCTACCCTGGTAAAGTCACTTATGTGTCACAACTAATTGATCCAGGGCCTTAAAAATCCCTTGGCCGGAGGTAGTCGCCTCCCTGATCACTCTGTACAAATGCTTTGCAACTCCTGTCACTTGCCAGTTTTCCCCTTGGCTCCTGGTTTCTCTCTTCTGCATCCTTTTTCCTCAGAGTTCTTTGTCCTGGCTGCTTAGACCAGGCCTCAAGGCACGGTTGTATCCCCAAAATATTTCTGCATAGTGACCCTGGTGCAGCCAGCCAGGACGGGAGCTGCTCTAGTAAATATCTTTGCTTGGTCCTTCAATTGAAACTCCCTGTACTTTCTGTGAAATATGGCCAGCTGATGTTTTTCATTTGGTATTTTTTAATCATCCTGTGTCAAAAGGGCCACAGAAATGCTATTTAAAGAATGGTGGGTGTGTTCAGTACTGCTCAAGACAAGAGAAGAGTTCTTGCCACGGAAAAACGTAGAGATTAATGAGTGCCTGGTGGGCTGCTGTGCCGCGCTCTGCTTCTGGAGGATTGTGTGCGGGAGTGTTGGTGGGGAAAGACGTTTTGAGAGGACAAGGGAAGAGAAGAACAGGAAAAAAAAAAAAGGTTAGTTGCTCTGGAGAATCTGGTGGCAGGCACTTCTAGAGGAAACAGATAAATAATGTGGAGTAGGGGGCTGGATCAAATAAGAGGAAGAGGAGGGGGAGTGAGAGTGTAAAGATACTGGAGTTTGTAAGGTCCAAATTTAATGGTCCCGTAGTTGTGCTGTTTTACCAAAGGTAGGTAATGCCAGTGTTACTCCTCGGTGTGAGCTGAAAAAATAGTTGCAAGGAGTATTCCGAGTAGTTCCTAAGATACCTGGAACAGTTTAAGGAGTTTGCACTGTAAAGGAAGAGCATTTTCCTGCGTGTTCCTCCCTCTCTGCTTGTGGCGTTTTACTAACGAGGACAGCCAAGAGAAAGTTTGAAACGATCCTGGGGGCGCATTAACGCTCTCGATTTCTAGCTGTTAATAGATGGAGCTCCTCTGTGGCGTCTGCAAGTTCGAGTAAATATTTGGCATCCCCAGTCGCTCTAAAGTCTAAGAGATCTTTCAGCGTGTCTTTGCGAGAAATCGTGTCCCATATAATTGAAGACCTCAGAGTAAGCGATGCAGAAGAAGAGGTGGCTCATGCAGTGACCGAAGTGGATCAGAAAGAGATTTTCAGAGAGGGTAAGAGGTGCTTTCAGTGTGGCAAGGGAAGGGAGTGCTTTAATTTGATAAACCCCCAGAATTTGTCGTGTGGCTTGGGGAGTAAAATAAGACTTGGTTTTGCGGTGGAAGCTGGAGATATTTTTAGTTCAAGTCGTCAGAGGTGCTGAGCATTTCCAGACGAGCTTTCTAGCTGGTGGGCTTTCTTGTCAGCGTTTGCTTTGTCCCCAGTGACTGCAAATGGAATCAAGATCCCTGGATTTTTGACAGGTCGGTAGTACTGCTCCTCTGCCCGTACGAAAAATGAGTAGCTCTTTCTTGGCAGGCGATAGCTCTGACTAATCAGCCTTCCTGCCTGTATCCATTTTTATTTATTTATTTTTTACTCTATTAATTTGAGCCATCTTGGTCACTACTTTTCTCCTGTACTAACCAGCATCTTTTTCTCTTAAGGCAAGGGCTTGAAGGTTGCCCTCTCTTAAGTACTAAACCTTATCACTAGTTTGTTGGGCCTTAATACCTCCTCGTTCCTGGAAGTCGTACAAGTTGTCTGTTTTCACAAGCACGTGCTCAGTTTTCTCTGAAATCCTTTTGCCTTGGAATAAGAGGGTAAAACCTCTGCAGAGATGCCGAGCGTGGCAGGTGTTACCTAAAGCTTTGGCTGTGTGCGCTCACGAATGCCCGTGTTTTGTTGAATTTTATTTTCCAGGCTCTAATTTAGGAACTTTTAAGTCTTTCTCGTTCCTTCGAGAGTGCCTGGAAATGAGAGAAGACCGTTGCAGCGTGGAAGCTGAACAGTCTGTAGCACCAACAATTTTGTACTAGAATTGTGAACAATACTTGCAGTGCCCATAATTAATTGCTCCCACATACCCATCAGCAAAATTATTGTGGTAATACAGCCTCTGGTTTTAAACAGTTCTTTTAGACTAGTTTGTTAAAGTAGCAGATATTCCACACTTCTAAATCTACCTGTGCTTAAGGTTGACGTCCTGGAACCTTTTGTGATTTTTATTTTTTTTTTTTCCCTGTTCTGGTTTTATTTGGGTGCTTAAATGGGATGTGGCTCTTGAGACTGATGAAAGTCACTTCAGAATTGTTCCAGTTCTGTGAACACCAGCTCAAAGCTTGAGGGCTGGTCAGAAAAGCAAATAAAATGTAAAAATTACTGTGAAAATAGAATGTAAAAATCACTGCGGAAGGAAGAGATGACAAAATGCCTCTGTGGAAACGATTGTGATGCTCACTTTTTGAATACTGCGTGCGGTTCTAACCTCTCCATCTCTAGGTTTAACAGAACTGGAAAAGGTGCAGAGAAAACCAGTTTTATCGTTAAGGATAGTCAAGTATATGGAGCGGGTTCTGTACATTGAATAACTAAAGATAAGTGCTCAGCCTGGAGAAAAAAAGAGAAATATAATTGCTGTCAGAATGAAATAGAAGAAATTTTAAAAGAAAAGCCTTGAGCAGCGTGGAGGAGGTGATTCAGCGAACAAATTGAGCAGCTCCTTAATCTGTCTGTGCAGAAACTAGAGAGGAGCGACCAGCACTGAGAGCTGGCAGGTTATTTCACGCTGCAGGAGGGATCCCTGCTAGTGACAGGGAAAGAAATCAGTAAAAATTCAGACTTAAACATGTCAACAGGGTGAGATATTCCTCTGGTAAGGTCCTGCGTCCCAGCGAGGATCCCGTTGCGTGGGGATTCGCTGGCTTCTGTCTGCCTTAGGTGGTCTTAACATAGAGCTGAGCTTTTGTCTTCTCCCCACAAAGCTATTTCATATTTCACTTAATTTTAGGAAAGGTTTTGCCCTGTGTTGGTGTAGGAAGCCCAATATTCTGCATGGTGAGAATGGCCTTACTGATTTTTGCATCACTTTTTGGCCAAATTTCCCGTCTGCTGGGGCTTGAGGCTCCCAGGACCTTGGCACTTGTACCTTTCAGTGTGAAAACTCCCAGTTGCTGGAGAAGCTGAGAAAAATCCACTTTTACAGCTTCTGGGCTCAGCCAAGATTTCTAAACCCTTCAGCAAGTGACGGTACTATGAGAGTTCCCAGTAAGGTTTCCCCAGATAATTACCTGTGTGGGTTTCTGAGCTCAGTGGTAACAGCCACGTGGGCTGTAGATTTAGTGGGAAAAGGAATACTTAACTACTCTTCAGCAGCTCAAGTTTTTATATTTATTTCAACTCGTGCTGCCTGCTGGAGGCTTGGCCGAGATGGCTAAAACCACTGCTAGACTCTCTCAACTTCTATAGTACAATATCTCTCTTCCAAAATTGTTTATTTGGAAGAACTGAGGAAACGGGGAGCACAATCTGAGCACGAGCTCTGGGTGTTGTTAGGCTGGAAGGAAAAGAATTTGGGCTTTCACCCAGTTGTCAAAAGCGAGGATAGATGTGGAGGTGGCAGATTTGGAGGAGCTCTGCTTAAGGATAAGTGAAATTCCTTGGCTGGGATCTGACATGCACCCTAATTAGGTGGCTGTAGGGCAAACACAGGAAAAAATTTGCATTTTTCAGCTGTAAGTGCTTGGAAGGGAAGTGCATCTGTTGCCCTTATTTAGAGCTTGTGGCTATTGCTGAGTTTACTTATCGGGAGGGAACTTTAGCAGTTGTTAAACTACTGGTGGTAGATTGGGGGTTTTTTTGGGTGGGCAAGACTGACACTAGAATTTCCTATTCTGGCTGCAGAGCATCGTGTGAGTGCTAGATATTCTGAACATTTGGAGAAGAAACGGACCGAACCAGCAGAATCAGAGATAAGTGGGGCACAAGGTGCTGGAGTCGGACCAGAAATGACTTCTTCAGAAGAAAAGGGAATAGCAGAAGGTGGTGTTGAACACCAAGGCTCTCCTGAAGCTGGTGAGGACAACCTCTAAAGCTCTGACGCAGAGAGCTCTTAAGCTGTCTTATTGCTATCAGTGCTGGGAGAGAGACTTATTAACTCTCTTGGCATTCTGGAATCTGGCTTAAATGCTGGGAAAACACCAAACTGATGTTGGCACGTTGAGCTGAAAGCGTTCTGCTCAAGCAGAAAACCAAATTATATTTGCCATACTGCTTAGCAATACGTAACTGTGGAAAGCTTAATTGAAATTTCTAGAATCGGGCAAAGATTGTAAAAATCAAAGACCGTCTGAGTGCGTTGGCAAATCAGGATCTCCAAGTTTACTTTACCTGAATGGCCGGGTCTTCTGTGTTTGATGTGCTTTGGGAAGACACCTTCTGAGAGAAAAAGTTCTTATTAAAGGAAATTAATTTAACAAGAGCTCAGATAAAAATTTCACTCGATTCTCAGGGACTTCTCCACATGATGAAGTGCTATTTTTTTTTTTGTTACCTCTGCATGCCCAGGAGTAGCAGGGGGAGAAGGGGAGGATTCGTTGGCACTTTAGCTCACCCAGCATCGTGTATTGAAACCCTAATCCTTGAGGATAGGAATGTGATAGGTGACGACATTGTCAGGGATGGCAAGCTGGGTTTTATTTGTATGAGTGCTTTGAAATTTGGGCTGTGATACTGGTTTGTGATGTATTTTTTTCCTGCTTTGGAAATCTAGAACGCGAAGGCGCCAGAGGAGCCAGAGCTGGAAGTCTGGGCAGACGTTCTGTTGCTCTTTCCACCACTGAAAAATCTGGGATGAAGCCACTAATGGAAGTCGTGGAACAAGCAGATGAACTAGAAGACCAGGCTATCATGGTAGAATTGGATGGTCCAGAGGAGCTTACTGAGGATGAGGCTGAAGACGCTGAGAGCGAAGGTAAGAAACCCATCACAGTAGTAGCAGAAAGGAGTTTAAGAAATTTTTCAGGACCCTCATCCTGAAACCTAATTCAGAACCTTATATTTTGTATGTGAGGTTGCAGATTTCCCTTCCAGTTAACCAAAAGAGCACGCTGGCTTTCCACAAAGGTGAGAGGAGGTGTCTGTTTCTAGACAGTTTTTCAGATGCTGTTCCAGTCTGCTCTGTTGCCCCAAGGGTGCTTTTAAAGAACATCCACCTCAGACCAACTCCTCTTCCATCAAGGCCACGTTTGAAAGCGCTCCGAGTGTGTTTTAGTGGCATCTTCTGGAACTGGTCTTAAAGCCTTTCCAAGTATGATATACCCCAAAATAAAAAAAAACGGAACTAAGGACACCCTAAAAGAATCTGGTTGCCAGGATTTGGGGTGTCGTGGGGGAATTCAGCTGTAACGAGAGCGTGGATTTGTGCGGTGTGGGAGGCACGAAGAGGGCAGTCACACGCTTTTGCCGTGAGGAGAGCTGTAGGTGTTCTTAGGGTGTCGACAACAGCGTGCCACGTGCTTGTCTCTAACAGCTGTATGAAGAGACGAGAAGATCTAGATGGAGAGATCTCTGCTGACAGGGTGGAATAACGAGAGCAGCACCTTACAGGTCTGATCGCTCAAGGAGAGGAAGAAAAGCTAGAAAATTCTGTGCTCTTGTCATCCTGAAAGCCTCAGCGTAACGAGCCTCTTCCCCTGCATCCTGCCCCCTGTCCTTCCAGCACACAGAAATGCTTCTTCAGGAGAAGTGGCAGCTCACCCAGCCTGGCTTTCTCAGAGAGACTCCTGCCCCTTGGAGTTGGAGAGTTTTAACTCTCAGTAGTACCTGAGGCCTGTAGTAGCTGGGCCCATGTTTTACAACGGGGCAGGTGTCCTGGCTCCTGGTGGGGGGGTGCAAAGCCGACACTGTTACCAGACGTGCTCGATTCTCGAGCTGCCCTGGGCTGGTGAAGGAACCAGCAGGGGAGCAGCCCTCTCTGACCTCTGTGCTCGCCATTTCACTTCTGTTACTGCTGTTTTCTTTCCGGCTCTTGCCTTTTAAGAAGTGAAGAAGCTTGAGAGCAAAGTTAGAGGGTTTAGATTAAGCTTAGAGGAAGCTCATAGGGATAGTTCCCAGCACACCAGAGGAGAGGTGCTGACTATAAGCTGAGCCCATGCTAGAGGGAATTTATGAAAACTGTGAGTATGGGAGATGGTCACAGACTGACCCTTGTAATACGACTTCTCTGCTGGCACCAGACCAGATGTGTGGGAAGCTGGCCGGGCTTCTGTCTGCCACTGCAGAAACTCCAAAGATAGACTTCAGTTCCTCAAGGGCTTTTTTTTTTTTTTTTCCTTAGAGAATTCCAGGAAGCCCCCCCCTTTTGCCCGTGCTGCAGCCCCCAAGCCGCTGCAGCCAACTCCGCGTTCTGCAAAACCTGCTGCTACCAAGTTGACAACTCCACATTCTGCAAAACCTGCTGCCTCCAGGTAAGCAGAAAGCCCCCTTCAGCAGCGGCCTCGTAGAAATGTGACAAGGAGGTGTAAGTTCCAGCAGGAGAGAACCGAGTCCAGCTTTGTTGCTTGCTTTGTGCTTTATCAGCTGTAGCGCGGGAGCAAACTGTCCTGAAGTCTTTAGATCACTCACTGCTTCAGCAATTGAATGAGTTCATCCAGTGAAGGTCAGTCTTCTCCCAGAGCAGATCTGATGCCTCCAAGTCTTTCCAATGTTCATTCTTAGAATACTCTCTTGTGCTGAAGGCCAAAACCGTTTCCTGGTTTTTCAACTGGTAGTTTTCTACCCTGGAGCCCCAGACCCCAGTATGGGATGCAGAGGCCCTTTCTACAACTACCTTAAAGGAGGTTGTAGCAAGGTGGGGATCGATCTGCTGAAGTAACAAGTGATAGGACAAGAGGAAGTGGCCTCAGGTTGCACCAGGGGACGGTTAGGTTAGATATTAGGAAGAATTTTTTTACTGAAAGGGTTCTCAGACATCGGAAGGGGTTGCTCAGGGCAGGGGTGGGCTCCCTGTCCCTGGAGGGATTTAAGAGTTGGGTAGACACAGCGCTGAGGGATGTGGCTCAGTCAAGGACTTGTAAGTGTTGGGCTCATGGTTGGACTCCATGATCTTAAAGGTCTTTTCCAATTTGGGCAACTCTGTCTGATTCCGTAATTAGAAATTACGATAGGTGAAATGACATATTTGGATTGGCTGTAGGAGCCCAAAGCTATGTCCTGTTGCTGTGTGCTGAACATAGAAGCTTGCCTAGAGGCAGAAAGTGAACCTGACCCCCACGTTACTCCAAATTAATTAACATTTTCCTCCTCTTCACTAGAAATTTGGTGAAGCTGTGTGATTCTGTGGGTCCTAGGGAACAGGAGGAATTTTCTAGCCCCGACTCTAGATTTTTGTTTATAGAAGCCACACACAATAAACCCCAATTCTTGTACTGCTGTGAACAGAGGGGATTGATGCTTAGAGAAGGTGCTGGATGATTGCTCTAATGGTGAATAGGAATAGAAAAAGGAGTCTTTGCTGAAGTAGAACTGAATGAATGCAAATATGCTTTGGGATTTTGTGCTGGGATGTTCCATACTGTCCTGTGAACCAAACATTCACATATATTTCACAAATGGATAAAGTGAGGCACAAAAAAAGCAACCAAGGTGACTTAAATCATGTCTGTTAGGGTTTTTTTACTTGTTTTTTTTTTCCTAGTTCACTACGTACTACACCTCTGGGGCTCATGGCTTCTACCTGCCCCTGAGGTTCTGACAGAAAAACATGCCCGTGGCCTGGAGAGAGAATCAAATGATTGACACGCTGCTTCTGTGGGTTTTGCATGTGTCAGTCTGAGATTCTGGGGGTTTTTTGGTCGTTTTCCACTTGCTACTGAGTGAATCCGGGAATTTCACTTCCCTTTGTCACGTTGCAATACTTTTTTGGTTTTTTTTCTTGGAATGGAAGACAGTTGTCATTTCCTTGGGGGAGTTACAGTCTTTAAGACCAAAAAAAAGCCAACTGAACCCACCAAAAAAAACCCCAACCAACCAAACAAAAAAACCACCCCCCCCCCCCCAAAACCCCACAAAGAAACAAACCACTAAATAAAATGTTCATAGCAGTGTAAAATCTACCCTGCAGACCAGACACTCTCCTGTCAGCAGGTGACCTGTGGGTTTTGAAGAACTGGGAGGGAGAAACAATGAGGAGCTCGAGGTAGTTCCTACCCCTTTGAATTCAGCGTCACGTCTGCCCAAACTCAGCCTGGTGTTCTCTGCCTCTCCCTCGTGTTCGTTCGTGTGCTGTGGGGGTTTGCAGCCTCCCCCAGAGGTCTCCCCTGCGGCCACCGCAGGCAAAGGTGGTTCCAAAGAGCTCGAGAGCACCGCGGAAGAAGACTTCTGAGCCTGAAATAGCAAGCAGTTTGATAAAGAAGATATTCAGCCATTATGCAAAGACGCCAGTGTCCAGAGATGCGTTCAGAATTGTTGCAAAATGGTAAGTAGCAACAAACTGCTCCCCTTCCTGCTCCTTTTTAGGCTTTTTTTTTTCCAGTTCTCCCCAGCAGGCCACAAGAGCTTGCCTTTCGCACTTTTGCACGCTCCACAGTCTGATTATTTTTTTTTTTAAGTTTTTTTTCCTTTCCCTCCTCAATCCTCCTTCAGCTCCGAGAGATACTTCAAGCAGCTGAGCAGTGATCTGGAAGCTTACACCAACCATGCGGGGAGGAAGACAGTGGAGATGGCTGACCTGGAAATCCTCATGAGAAGGTAAAGGGAGGATTGTAAATTATTGTGAGCTGGTAGTAGTAAGCCTGTTGTTGCCTGGGTGAGCACTGGCAGGGTTTCCACTGTAAGAGTGATACAAAGCAAGCATGAATAAATGCTATTTTATTTTTTATGAAACTAGCAGACACTGATTTTCCAGGCCAGGGAGCGAAGTGTTGCACTAGAAACCTCACAGTTTGAAAATGCCAATTGCCTCTGAGTTGGGAATGTAAAAACAATCTGCGGAGTAACGAGCTAGTTGCTTCTGCTACAACGTTCTGTGAGTTCCTTTAAGTGGTAAAACGTACCTCATGGCAGGTGGATTGTAATTTAAAAGTCAACGAGCTTATATTTTATCAAGTCATCAGTGGCTCGATCAAGAATGTCACTGCAAGAAAACTTGAAAAACTTTGGTACGAAGTTCGAGTGGAAACATTTTTCACTAACAACTCTGTGTTTTCTTTAACAAAGGCAAAGGTTGGTGACAGACAAGATGCCGCTGCACGTGCTGATAGAGCGTTACCTCCCGCTGGAGTACAGGAAGCTCCTGATTCCAGTCGCTGTGAGTGGAAACAAAGTGATCCCCTGCAAATGAATGTGCCCCTCGGGTGGCGGCGGGCTGAGTGGGCCCCAGCTGCGGGTCGTTTCATTTAACAGCTCGGCGCGGGGGTTTTCCACTGGCGGGCTGAGAAAAGGTCGATGTTCTCTTGAAGCGATGCAGGTTGTGCCGCGGCTCTCGCGCCAGCCTGCTGGATGCTTCAGTTAGCCTGAATTGATGTTACCTTGGGATACTTGTACAGCTTTGATAAATAAAATGTATATTCTGCACGATGCGAGTGCTGCTTATTCTGGTGAGCTGGAAGGCTGCTGCTCAAAACGTTCTTAACAGACGTTCAGCCGCGTTGGTGCTCTTCCTGCTACCTGTTTGTGTGCTCGAAGGAGCAAAGTTGTGTACTGCTTTCCAACAAGAAGCCGGTCCTCGTTTCAGCTCTGCGTTTCTCTAGAGCAAGAGCTTCCAAACTTGGGTCTTGTCCCTCTTTGCAAGTCTGGTCTGCTGTGTCGAGTAAATCATAATCCGTCTGTGACCACGGCTGGTCACGGAAATGGGGAAAATACGCTTTATAGTTACTTTTATGTGTAACTAAAGCACGACCGTTGCAGAGATGAGGTTTTCTGGTGCGCATGTGATAGACTGGGAGAGATTGCCTCAGAGGGAGTTAATGGTATCAGCTTTATGAGGGAAGGTTTTTGGAGGGAATGGGGGGAACCTGCAGAACCAGTTCCAGCCAACTCCAAAATGGACCCGCCACTGGCCAAAGCTGAGACATGGGTGGCATCTTTGCGATGACATGTTTAAAAAAAGGTAAAAAAAGCTGTGCAGCCGCTACGGGAGGGAGGAGTTAAGGACAAAAACACAGGAGAAACAACCCTGTGGCCACTGAAGATACACGCTGGAGAAGAGACTCCTCTGCAGCCTGCGGAGAAGACCACGGGGAGGCCGGTTGTCCCATGGTGGAGCACGGTGGAGCAGATAAGGACCTGTGGCCCCTGGAGGACCCCGCAGCACGGCAGGTGGAGATGCCCCACAGGAAGCTGCAGCCTGTGGAGAGAGGAGTCCATGCAGCAGCAGGTTTGTTGTAGGACCTGTGGGGTCCTCCATGGGAAGGGACCCCACTCCCTGGAAGTGTTCCAGGCCAGGCTGGATGGAGCCTTGAGCAGCCTGACCTAGTGGGAGATGTCCCTGCTGTGGCAGGGGCCCTGGAACGAGATGATCTTTGAGGTCCCTTCCAACCTAAATCATTCTGTGATTGTTTGAGGTGGAGGGGGAAGATGTGAGGAATGAGTGGCAGAGAGTTACGGATTGACTGAAGCTCCTCGTTCCACGTCCCCCCCGCGCTCCTCAGCAGGGAGGAGACAGTTGAGCCTGGGAAGAAGGAGAGGTGAGAGAAGGTCTTTTTAGTTTTGTCTTTGTTTCTCGCTATGCCCCTCTAACTTGCAATTCCAAGCTGGAGCAGTTTGCTCTAGGGGGGGCAGCTCGCTGCAGTTAGACGGGTACTGCCAACACGGTTCACACTTTTGGGGGGCCTGAAGTCCTCGGGGTGAAGCAAAACGAGTGATTCCTGCTCTCCGTAGCCAGCTGCTTTCTCTACATCCCCATGAGGGGCTTTCTTGACAAACTTTGCAGATTTGGTGTTCACCTGCCAACCGCTTTCTTGGTGTTTTAAGTTCCCCGTCTTTTTTTAAGATAGATTGGATTTTGCCGTGTGACACCCCCTCCTTTCAGAAACACTCCACTTAGGATGTTTGGTTTCTAGCTGGACAACGCATCTCCCGTTTCCATCTTATTACAGTTTCTTTCCAGGTAGTTTGCGATTTGCGCTGAAGGTGCTGAGCACCATGTTCTGTATTCAAGGCAGAAATCCCAGAGGCTTTGTCTCTTTGGGTGGTGCTTAAGCCTTTTCAGTTTACAGATGCAATCAGGTGTTGCAAAAAAACGGTGGGGTTTTTAGGAAGGTGACCTGTGATTTCAGCTTTCCTCTTTTCTACTTTTCAAACTACGTTGTGACAAAAAGAATGGGTCTTGTTTGCTCCACTTGGCAATAGCAGAGCTCTTTTCCTACAGGGCTTTTGTTTCGAGAACGCCCGTTCCCCTCCCAGGAGAGGGCTACGTGCTGGAGAGAGAAAAGGAGAATTGAGGCCAGCGGTTGGAAAGGTAGTTACCCAAACCTGTATGGTGTCTTCCTTGAAGCGAGAGACGGATTTCAGCATTTCTGAGCTTGCCTTGCTTTCCCAGCTTAGAATTTGCTTAATCCTACACCAAGGTAAAAATCTCCTGGGGGACAGCAAACCTGAACTTGTCTTTTGTGTGCGCCCTGACTGTGCTGATGGCATCTTATTTTGCAAATGTGTCTTGGAAACCTTCCTTTGCTGAGCCAAGGAACCACTGGGTTCAAGGGCTAAAGCAGCCACCTTGCAGCCTGGAGTTTGACGGCGGCTTCCCAGGTTCTAGAAACAGCTACTGGGGCTGGTTTGTCACCAAGCCAAGAGCCCAACATCCCAGAGCCGTGGTGGGGACCAGTAAGCCTGGCAGAGCTGAAACAACTCTGCAGAGGCTGCAAAATGGTTTGAGAGCGCTTTGCTGCTCACGCTGAAAGTGCTTCTGGTAGTTCCAGCTAGCCCGTCCTCTCCGCTCTGCGTTACTGGGTGTATTTGTGTGCAAGGGAAGAAGTATTTAGTGCAGCAACCGGCTTCCAGCGTGGGTATCCAAGCCTGGAGATGAACCAGTCCTTTTATTCTTAATCCTGGCAGCCTCCTTACTCTCTGTTCAGAAACAACTCGGTCACTGTGACGCTGTGGCAGTCAGAGTATTTACTTATCTGCGTGTTGTGACCCCTCCCCCTTGTTACAGAACTGCGTTTCCCCCTTGTCAATTCTGTGCCCACGCCGGACAGAATTTATCTTTATGGGCCTCTTGGTGTTCTCAGTGCACAGCACCAGACTTTTTTTTTTTTTTTCCTCTGCAGTAACTCCCTCTCACTTTTTGGTGGAGCTATTCCTCAGATTTACCCCTTTATATCTGCAGCTGCCGGTCCTGTTCGCTCTCCCCGCTCCTCAGAACCAACCTCTGAGGACGGGCAGGATTTTACTGCTATTTTGGGAGAGCTGAGGAGTGTCAAGACGTGAGACTTCAGGAGCTGAAGGGCCTCACTGGTACAACCAACCTTCTCTACTGGCTCCCTGCCCCATCCAAGTCCTTCAGGTTGGGAGCTGACACTGTGCAGTGTTCTGTGGAGCAGGGCCCAGCCAGATTTTTGGCATTTACTGCATCCTTGTCTACTCTCCCCATCAGCCCCTTCCCTCCAGACTTAGGTTAAATCTCTCAGCTTGTCCTTCAGCTGTCCCAGATACTCCTGCTGCTCCCTGACATGCTGGCTCCTGAGCTTGGCCACGAAGGGTTCGGGGTTCCCCTCCTCATCCCGTAAGAGATTACGGGTGTGTTAGCACTGAACACATGTTCTGCTCTGGATGGGAGCTTCCCCCTCAACGTGAATTAAAATAGCTCGTCTCGTCTAGAAATGGAATTTCCATTTAAAATTGGAAATAAAAAGACTGTGGGAGAAGGGTCACGGAAAAGGCAGGAGCTTGCATGGCTGTTGCCTGCAGAGGGCCTCCAGGTGTTAGAGCTTTGTTAGTCTGATAAACCTAATTACTGTGAAAGAAACTAGATTAATCCCTAAACTAGCTTAAGCTGAATCAAAAGGAAAACTCGAGTAACATCAGCTTACTTCTTCGAATAAGGATCTGTGGTTGATGAGGCTGTCAGCGTCGTCCAGCTTGTACTTGCGTCAACTAATTCTTGGATTGACTCTTTCCTTTTCAGGGGAAAAGCTTCCCTCAGGGCCGCACTGTACGGAGACAGGGAACACAGACACAAGTGTTCGTGTGTGTGTGTGTGTGTGTGTGCGTCCCTCCGGTGCCAGCACGGATCGACTGCCGGCACGGCTGGCACTGGTTTGAGCTGCCAGAGCGTGTGGGTAGTCCATGGGCTGGATCTTCCCAGCTGCACTACTCAAAACCTGCAGCATTCACATTATTCCAAATCTAATGCTGAGGTTAACAGGAAGCAGGAATTGATAAGAGAGCAAAGCCTCATCTCCCAGCTGCACCGTGGAGCGGCGTATCACCACGTCTGACGCGTGCCAGGCGTGGGCAGAGCCCGGTGGGCAACCGTCGGCCTCTTGCCTGAACTGCACGCCGGTCCGGAATCCGCTGCCGGGGCTGTCGCAGGCAGCCAGCGACTTCTGCGGGTTGGAAATGAGCTGCTTCTGGCCATGATACTGTTCTTCACCCACCTGTGACAGAGGGAAGGTCCGCAGGTCGGTGACCGCACCTTGGCTCCCCTTCAAGGGGGAAGCAAAACTGCATAAAGGACCACGCTTGCTTCTAAAGCAACTTTGACCTTGAGCGGCTTTTAGGGATTTTCAAATAATTAAGTAAGTGCCACAGTGGCTTCTTGTTGGACAACTTGCAAGTGGAACGTACAGGACTCCCTTCTGAGTGTTTGCTTTTATTGTCATGAGAAAGTGCAGCTTCCCAGGGAACAGAAGGGTGGTTGGATGTGATGATCTTAGAGGCGCTGGGTTTCCTACATTCCCAGTGAGTGCGTTGTAGAACGAGCTCAGGACGTGGTTTGATCAACAGTCGCGTGTTCTCGTAGAGGGTGTAAGACCATTCCATGGCAGCGGCGTTGCCGTACTTCTGGAGGTAGCCAAGGAAGAACTCGGGGAGACTGGATCGCTTCCCTGCCTGCAGAAAACAAGTAGCTCCTGTAAGCAGCAGAACCAAATCAGCGTTAGGTTAATGAGTGGACTCAATGATCTTAAGGTTTTTTTTCCAATCTGGGCAATTTCACACTTTGGCTCAGAGGTGAATTCCCTTTC